GGGTATGGAGAAAGGGCCTGTGGGCTGGAGGAGTGTGGGTGTTCTTGTGCGGTAGGTGTTCTTTTGGTGGTATGGAGAAAGGGCCTGGGGGTTGGAGTAGTGCGTGTTCTTGTCCGGTAGGTGTTCTTTGGGGCTACGGAGAAAGGGCCTGTACAAGGTCAGTACTCCAATCCCCCATTGTTGGTGGGCCCGAAGGTGTCCGTTTTTGGGGCACATACTAAAAGAGATAGACTACCAGGGATTGGAGTAGTGTTTGATCTTCCGCTTGGTGTTGTTTTGAGGCATGGAAATTTTGGTCCTGGGGCTTTGAGTAAGTAGTGGGTGTTCTTGTCCAGCAGGTGTTGTTTTCGGGGTGCGGAGAAACGGCCCGTGGGTTGGAGTAGTGTGTGGTAGTCTTGTCAGGTAGGTGTTGTTTTGAGGATACGGAGAAAGGGCCCTGGGGGTTGGAGTAGTGTGGATGGTCCCGTCCTGTAGGTGTTGTTTTAGAGGTAAGGATAGGGACCTGGGGTTGGAGTAGTGTGTGGTGGTCTCCTATGTCCGGCAGGTGTTGTTTGGGGGGTACGGAGATAGGTCCTGGGGGATGGAGTAGTGTGGGTGGTCTTGTCCGGTAGGTGTCGATTTGAGGGTATGGAGAAAGGGCCTGTTGGTTGGAGTAGTGTGGTTGGTCTTGTCCGGTAGGTGTTGTTTTGGGGGTAAGGATAAAGGGCCTGTGGGTTGGAGTAGTGTGAGTGGTCTTGTCCGCTGGGTGTTGTTTTTGGGTTGCGGAGAAATGGCCTAGGGGTTCGAGTAGTGTTGGTGGTCTTGTCCAGTAGGTGTTGTTTTCGGGGTGCGGAGAAATGGCCTGTGGGTTGGAGTAGTGTGTGTGGTCTTGTCAGGTAGGTGTTGATGTTAGGATACGGAGAAAGGGCCTCTGGGTTGGAGTAGTGTGGATGGTCTCGTCCTGTAGGTGTTGTTTTAGAGGTAAGGAGATTGGACCTGGGGGTTGAAGTAGTGTGTGTGGTCTTTTCCGGTAGGTGTTGTTTGGGGCGTACGGAGATAGGTCCTGGGGGATGGAGTAGTGTGGGTGGTCTTGTCCGGTAGGTGTCGATTTGAGGGTATGGAGAAAGGGCCTGTGGGTTGGAGTTGTGGGGGTGGTAATGTCCGGTAGGTGTTGTTCTGGGGGCATGGAGGAAGGGCCTGTTGGTTGGAGTAGTGTGGATGGTTTTGTCCTGTATGTGTTGTTTTAGGGGCACGGAAAAAAGGCTTGTGGGCTTGAGTAGTGTAGGTGGTTTTGTCCGGTATGTGGTTTTGGGGATACGGAGATAGGGCCTGGGGGTTGGAGTAGTGTGGGTGATCTTGTCCGGTAGGTGTTGTTTTGGAGATATGGAGATAGGTCCTGGGGGTTGGAGTAGTGTGGGTTGTCGTGTCCGGTAGGTGTTGTTTTCGGGGTGCAGTGAAATGGCCTGTGGGTTCGAGTAGTGTGGGTGGTCTTGTCCGGTAGGTGTTGTTTTGGAGGTATGGAGATAGGGCCTGTGGGTTGTAGTAGTGTGGGTGTTCTTGTCCGGTAGGTGTTGTTTTGGGGGTACGGAGATAGGACATGGGGGTTGGAGTAGTGTGGGTGATCTTGTCCGGTAGTTGTTGTTTTGGAGGTATGGAAATAGGTCCTGGAGGTTGGAGTAGTGTGGGTGGTCTTGTCCATTAGGTGTTGTTTTCTGGGTGCGGAGAAATGGCCTGGGGGTTGGAGTAGTGTGGGTGGTCTTGTCCGGTAGGTGTTGTTTTTAGGATACGGAGAAAGGGCCTGTTGGTTGGATTAGTGTGGATGTTCTCGTCCTGTAGGTGTTGTTTAAGGTGTAAGGAGATAGGGCCTGTGTGTTGGAGTAGTGTAGGTGGTCTTGTCCGGTAGGTGTTGTTTGGGGGTACGGAGATAGGACATGGGGGTTGGAGAAGTGGGGGTGGTAATGTCCGGTGGGTGTTGTTTTGGGGGTATGGAGAGAGGGCCTGTGGGTTGGAGTAGTGTGGGTGGTCTTGTCCGGTAGGTGTTGTTTTGAGGGTATGGAGGAAGGGCCTGTTGGTTGGAGTAGTGTGGGTGGTCTTGTCCGGTAGGTGTTGTTTTGGTGGTATGGAGAAAGGGCCTGTGGGTTGGAGGAGTGTGGGTGTTCTGGTCCGGTAAGTGTTCTTTTGGTGGTACGGAGAAAGGGCCTGTGGGTTTGAGTAGTGTGGGTGTTCTTGTCCGGTAGGTGTTCTTTTGGGGGTACGGAGAAAGGGCCTGGGGGTTGGAGTATTGTTGGTGGGCTTCTCCGGTAGGTGTTGTTTTGGGGGGTACGGAGATAGGACCTGGGGATTGGAGTAGTGTGTTTGATCTTGTCCGGTAGGTGTTGTTTTGGAGGTATGGAGATAGGGCCTGTGGGTTCGAGTAGTGTGGGTGATCTTGTCCGGTAGGTGTTGTTTTGGGGGTACGGAGATAGGACATGGGGGTTGGAGTAGTGTGGGTGATCTTGTCCGGTAGGTGTTGTTTTCGAGGTATGGAGATAGGTACTTGGGGTTGGAGTAGTGTGGGTGGTCTTGTCCAGTAGGTGTTGTTTTCTGGGTGCGGAGAAATGGCCTGTGAGTTGGAGTAGTGTGGGTGGTCTTGTCAGGTATGTGTTGTTTTTAGGATACGGAGAAAGGGCCTCTGGGTTGGAGTAGTGTGGATGGTCTCGTCCTGTAGGTGTTGTTTTAGATGTAAGGAGATAGGACCTGGGGGTTGGAGTAGTGTGAGTGGTCTTGTCCGGTAGGAGTTGTTTTTTGAGTACAGTGAAAGGGCCTGTGGGTTTGAGTAGTGTGGGTGATCTTGTCCGGTAGGTGTTGTTTTTGGTGGTATTGAGATAGGTGTTGGGGGGTGGAGTTGTGTGGGTGGTCTTGTCCAGTTGGTTTTGTTTTGGGAGGAATATGGTCACGAACTTGGGGGTGATGTAGGGTAGAGTCGACTTCCCAGGTAGGTGTTGATTTTTGGAGTAAAAAGAACTGTCATTAGATTGTGGGGTTCTGTGCGTAATTTTATATAAGTGTGCCTAGTGGCTGGATGGATAGCATATCTGAATTACCTTTTTAATCTCTACGTCCTATATATATAGAACTCAGACGTGAACTGAGAAGTAGTCCTATGATGAATAATCTATACTTGTACTGTGATGTGTAATCATAAGCATTTCATCTATCGTGACGGTGACAGATAAACATTCATCTATAGCATTTATGTAATTTTTCTGAAAGTTGATGATAGGAAACATAATAGAAGTAATATATATCACACATAAACGTGTGTAAAACATGAAAAGAGGTGATTAATTGTAACTGTAACTGTCCTTGTTAACAAAAGAAATGTTTCAATTGAAATAAATCTATAACACATTGACAAACCATGACATAATTAAAGGAAAAATACTAATCTTGAATATCGACTTTTTAACACATAGTTCCCCAAGGGAGGTGGAGTACTGGGTTGTTTCCAGGTTTCAGGAAACCAAGTCATTTCTGTAGTGAGTAGCCTAGTTGATAAAACGATCGCTTGTCACGCCGAAGGCCCGGGTTCGATTTCCCACATGGGTACAATGTGAGAAGCCCATTTCTGGTGTGCCCCGCAATGATATTGCTAAGAACGGCGTAAAACTAAACTCCCTCATCAACCTCAAATAACGACTATCGTGACGTGACCATCCAGTTGATTTGCCCTTGCACAGCTGACTAATTAAAGGTACAGATTCTAAGTCGTCAAATTCTGTATATGCACTGTTGGACAATTCAACGTTCTATTCAACATATTCCACGCATGCACTGCTGACAAATTCAACGCAAGGTTTTTATATCGCCTGTGTATTTCCCAATCAATACCAGATTGATACCACACTTCCCTTGTAAGGCACAACACAGGCTGACAATGGTTTGCTTCAACTACATGTCAAACCGTTGTTGTATTGGCAGACATATAGAGGGTAGGTGAAGTCGTCCATAACTATACAATAATAGAAAATATGCACACAATTGTTGGTGTGGGTGTGTTGGTGTGTGTGTGTGTGTTGATGTCTGTGTGTGTGTGGTGTGTGTGTTTGGATGTGTGTGTGTGTGTGTGTGTGTGTGTTGGTGTGCGGGTGTGGATGCTGGTGCGGGTGTGGATGTGGGTGTGGGTGTTGGTGTGGGTGTGAATGTGAGTGTGGGTGTGGGTGTGGGTGTGGGTGTGGGTGTGGATGTTGGTAAGATGAGTTTGGGTGGGTATGTAACATACATACACATAAAAACCCGACTTGATTTCAGTGTAATTGGGATATGTATTATACGATCTTTTTACAAGACATAATTTTCGGTATGATAATGTATATCAAGGCAAAACTTATTGAGTATCCTCTTCCAAATATTTTCTCCAGTCCCTTAGCAGATGTAGGCCAGATGTTCAATCTTTCAATACAGGCCATTCGTCTTGCAGCGAACGCAGTAGACCAATAACATGTCGGTGCACTGGATCGTGAAGAAGACAGAAGGCAGGTTGCTGTTGTCGAAACACGAAAATTACTCATGGACTCGACAAGCTCGAACACATCCTCACACTACCAATGTCCCAAATAGCATCATATTAGCGGCCTGATTTATCGCATATTGGGAATGTTGAATTTGATATGAAAACTGGCATTTGCACTGACAAAGCATTCATAACAGTCGAGTTGACATTTTAACACTATCCCGCCTCGAGCCTAACACGGGTATTTGTAGTCCAGCCAGTACAAAGGTGATCTCGTTTAACCAGTTCACACATTTGCAGGTATCTATTGTGCTGGTCCAGCTAAATTTACTTATATGTCCCAGTTTGACGTATATCTATAGATCCCCAAATTGACCGTGTTCTCATTTTCAAGATTTAGTATAATTAATACAACAGCTTACACGTTAAACAGACCGAGCTTTTATGAATGGTTCCGCTTGGCTGACATCGTAAAGAAACGCGTCAGATGACATATCAATCTCTTGCCTGTTACACCAACAAATAGCTGGCGATATACGGGACGCACCAGGGATGAATATAAATAGCTGAAGATTCTTTCATAAAGTACTCTGAGGAACACAGTTACACCACAGCCACAACACATACGTACTGACGTGACGATATACCCGATCTACCAGTCACAAACCTGTTTCGTCCGGCAACTGAACAGAATGAAAATACCTCGGCCGGGTACACGACTGAGTGATAGCCTGATGCCACTCCATTTTGCCCCATTTGAGTATTACTGATTCCGTTTATTTAAGGATGGGAATATGTGATTGGATCTAGAAAACACGTTGATTCCAGCTGTCGGAGGACTAAATACAATGAAGAGGAGAAAATGTGTCGCCATGTTGGTGTTACCTTGGGTTATTGTTGTGGTGGTAACAATCATCGACATGGCGGAAGGTTGGTGTCTTGCGTGATGAATTTTTGCTTTCTTGTTTAGACGTACAAGTTAACGTGTCCTGTTTTGGTACATACCATTTTATTCCGTGTCATTGTGATGTACATACCTGCGAAGTGACTCATAAAAGGCAACCCACTTTCCCCTGACGCATTTTCTCCCCATGAACACAATTCTACTTGGTTGTTTTAATACCACAAGACTGTTTACCCTATGTTTATTGTTGGGAAAGCTTAATCTCAATAAACAGAAACGCCATCATTTCGTACATAAGGCACTTAACACAAGATGCTGAGTTGTTGTACACAATCGTTTGTCAGTTAGATGCCCTAGTAAATAATTTATTTGACAGCAGAAACACGTTTGACAAGCTTTATCATTATCAAGCTTCATATGCTTTAAGGTCATGGTCGTTAATGATCTTATGATATCATACTCGTGCATTAATTTGTGTACAAATCATCCAGTGCCTAAACTCGTTAGGCCAATTGTATTGGTTTGTGCGTCAGCTGGGTTTGATTCTCATTTATATATTGGCATTCCAGATTCAAAGAAACAGAGACGGCGTGAAGCGTCAAAAAATTACCCACATATTAGGGCTGGCCATCGATGTAGATCAAAGAGATCGATTATCGTTTACGTTTAATATTATCGATAAATAAATTATAGATTTGAGCAAAAATGGCAAAAAAAGCCTGAAATATATCAATATTAATATATATTTCACACCACTGGTGAATGGTGACATGTTTATGCATGGGTTAAAAACAAAACAACATCCTGAACATAATTTAGAAGCAGACCATGAATTTAAACCTAATTTTGTGTATTGTATGAGTAAATTAAAATTTTACTCTATTACAAGTGTTTTAGGTACGATATAGTCGATATACGATATGACACTGTTTTCATATCGACCATCATTAGTAATTGTTCCAGTTGACGATATTTCCGATTATCGATATTTTTAACCAGCCCTAGCTTATAATCATCTTATATCTGGAATTCGTGATGGTTTTAAGTACCATCAGGCACTAAGGTGTATAGACGCCATGTTTCAGAAACAAAAGCGAGTAATGACAATGTCGCCGCTTGTTTCAAACAAGAAAGAATAATTATCACAGCTTCGTGTCATTTGAACCAAGCACAAAATAGCAAATAGGACCATGGTACTTGCTATGGGGGTGGATGAGTGTGGTTTTACGCCGCTTTTAGCAATATTTCAGCAATATCACGGCGGGAGACACACGAAAAGGGCTTCACACATTGTACACATGTGGGGAATCGAAACCGGGTCTTCGGCGTGACAAGCGAACGCTTTAACCACGAGGCTACCCCAACGTACTATGGCGTTATTGAGCAGATTTTGTATGACCAGAAATTATTGAGAATTTTAGGAATATGTTTAATTGGATTTCTAGTATAAACCACCTTGACCAGCTATCAAGTGCTTGGTTTCATTCAAGAGAGACAACTCCGTTAATCCTTGTTCATTAGTTTGTGAAGAGTTATCCCGCTTTGTTTACTTGCTAACAGACGACATTTTCAGTGATCCGCAGTAGAAGAGGAAGTTGATTTTAGAGTATTATAACAAGGATATCAGATCAGCTAAAGTGATTTCAAGTAGAACAGGCATCCCTTTGTCCACCGTTTATCGTGTTTTGAAAAATATTGCAAATGAATATGGCATTGAGCACCAGGGAGGCGCAGGAAGGCCCAGAAAATTGACTGTCGGTGACAGGAGGCGGCTTGGCAATTTGTTTCTAAAAACAAACGAAGGAGAAATCTTAAGGCTGGACATGATTGATAGAGGAACTGTGGCTGTCTGTAAGGAGACAATTAGAACTGAGAAACATGCAATGGGTTGGCAGAAAAGTGGAGGAATTCCATCACCGATCATGAAACCTGAACAAAAGGAGCAAAGGTTGAACTGGTGCTTACAGCATAGAAATTTTAACTGGGACAATATGATTTTCTCAGATGAAAGTTCTGTGTGGCTGTTTCCTACACTGAAATTCTGGACCAAACAAACTGAAAAACCTTTGTATCAGCGCCCAAAGTACAGTCCGAAATTTAACGTGTGGGGTGGCATATCTGTGTTAGGGTCAACGCCCGTCTCTTTATTTGAAGGGAATAACAGTGAGCGGTACACAGATATTCTCGAGGGACATTTACTTCCATCTGCTCAAATGTTCTCTGGAAATTTTGGGATTTTCCAGCAGAACAACGACCAAAACATCGCTCAAAGCATTCACAGGCCTGGTTTCGGACCCATTATGATTGGCCAAGCTATAGCCCTGACCTAAATCCAAAAGAAAATGTTTGGGGACTTATGAAGGAAAGTGTCAATAAGAAAAATCTGACAAATATTGCTGAAATGAAAGAAGAGGTGGTCCGCTATTGGGACAGCATGGATCACGACTTTAAAAATTCTTTGATCAGTAGTTTGCCCCTCCGCATTGAAGCCTGCATTGCTGCCCATGGTGACTTGACAAAATACTAACTGTTCACCTGTCTTGAATCTGGAGTTATGTTCTGCTAATATTCACATTTAATACGTGAGTATTGTGTAATGAGTGAAAAAAATATAAAAAATTACAATCTTTAAATTCTCAATAATTTCTGGTTGTACTGTGTTATACATTGGTTAAACGAAGAAGTATTTCAATCTGCAACGTTATACCAATGCAGTAGTTCATCGACATGCAACATCGAATGCCATTTTATGTCATTTTAACAGGTGTCAAGACGTGTCTGAGATCAGGCCCAGAACCGGACCCGAGTCTAAGTCTGGAAATCTTCATAGACACGCTCAATGGACACAATGGAAACTGTTCCTGTTCATTACAAAAGGTCAATGTCATTTCTAATGTGACAATTACGGTGAATAATGTAGCCGGCATGTGTGAAGTTGGTGAATTGACTATATCAGACAGGAATGTGTGTGACCAAGTGAAGAAGAAGGAGCCAACATGGACTATACAATTGGCTCGTTTAGAGGATGTATTTCTCAACGTGACAGGCAATAGGAACCAATCTGTTGGGGGAGTCATCACCTTTACATCTCAAAGTAAGTTACAACAATGTTTTCGAAGCCTGTTTTGTCCAACGTAAATTACAGATGAAAATATTTGATGTCGTACGTGATGATAATACCGATGTAAATAATGCGGTAAAAACGTTCCATAATCTTTTGAGATCTCTACATGAAGTCCATTGTTCCATTCCAACATCATGAGCATGTATTTGTGTATTACGATGAAATAATGAACAAGCAGATAATACAAGGTCTTCGTAAAAGGTAAGCGTATCATATCACATCACAAACCGTCACAAACACTTACGATAGACAAGGCAACTGTCACGTAAAACGACACTGAATATCAAATGAGGCTATTGCAATGGACATCATATAAGTCAGTTGCCACACTGATGGCTCAAATTGGCTTCTACGTATCTACGATAAGTGTCATCATCATCATAACAACCTTTTCAAGAGTCGTATCACTTTGAGATCTTAGCTTAAAGAAACTGCTTGAGTAATCCTTACGAAACTGATGGGTAGGTGCTTGGCATGTTGGAAAAATTGACTGTATGAAGTTTGAAGTAATTTTCTTCTTATGAAGTCTTGTCGATAGCTAAAATTGACTGTATGAAGTTTGAAGTAATTCTTCTTCTTATGAAGTCTTGTCGATAGCTAACTGGCACTGTGACATATATATTATGCTGCTTTAACTGACGGTTGGAGAGCCTTATTGGTTGGTTGAGGTACATATTGGATGTCAGCTGAAAATATACATTCCATTTTGACGTCGTATGGTTTTAATTTGGCTGTCATCAGCCAAATACAAAACTGCATTAACATGCACATCATTCTGTGATATATGGTACCTTCCCTTTTAGTCATTGTATGTGCTATTAGATCATTTCATGCAAAAATCCGAAATATTTGGGTATTTTAAAGTGTGATTTCAGAAAAGGATAATGTCATCACGTGAATGTATTTCAGGATACACTTTGTAAGGTTTCACCATTTCCATTTGCAGATGACATAAGTCTTGCGTGTCTTCCGGCCGTTGAGACCATACCGGAAACAACGACACCAAAAATAACGACGACACCCATCACGACTACAACAACGGAAGGCCCCATTGAAGGGACACGTAAGCTCAATGTCATATATGTGATACTTGGTATGAAACTGTAACAGTTCTGGAAATGCAACCTTACTCATAGAAGTTATCAACCTAGCCCGTTAACCTTAACCATTGTCCTTCTTAATCTCTTTGGTTTGTAAAACTGTGAAATTTTAAAATGTATTCATGAATACACCTTCTTACAAAATTATATGTTCACAGTTATATGCGCCAACCCTATTCATAACACCAATGTTCTAACTGGTAGCTCATTGGCAATCTTCTTTGGCTTATCAGTCATGTGATGTGCTCTTAGGTGACTAAAAGTAGTCGAAGGTCCATGTCAGTTTCGGAAGCCATGTCACACCTCAAACGGTGGTCTCCACACTTACTAAAACATAAATACATTACAATATTGTATATCGTTTAATGGGAGGCTATTTTTACTGAACTTGTTATCGCTCGTGAGCATACAACTTGTGAGTAAACACTGAGACATTTTCAGCTGCCCAGCCCACATTTAGCGCATGCTGTGCTTCTTATCAGTAAACATAGTGACGTGGGGACCTTGTAGTAAAGGAGAACCCTTCAAAACAAAATTGATCAAATATTTTACTATTATGCTATACAGCCTTTAAATTTGTTTTTCATAACATTCAATCTTTTTCGAACATGAATAATTATAGTTTCTCCACAATAACATTTCCACACCAGGTTACACAAACAAGGAAGATCCTTTTAGGGGCTTTTACTTTTCAAAGGAGTAAATGTCATTAGTTTAGAAGCATCGAAGTATTTTGGGGATTCAGATCACGGCTAATAATGTGTCATTAATTGTCCGATCTTGTTTAAAAAATAGAAAGGTAACAAGGCACATGGAATCCTAAACAATGCAATTGATGTTAATATCCATCATTCGTTGAATACACATTGCCATTAGAACTTTCTCAGTAAAGTACAGATTCTAGTCGAGGTTGGGATTCGAATCTACACTCTCAGAGTCAACCACCTAATTGCCAGCAAACAAAGTCAGCTATCTAACTCACTCAGCTAGCGCTGCTTCCACTAGAATGGAACTCGTCTGACAAGTGTAGTTGACACGGCTCCCACGGCTGAAAACTATGAATACACAATGTCATTTAGAAAGTGATCATATCGAACATAGTTATATTTGGGTTTCTCAGTAAACTTCAGAATCTTAGTACTTTTGTTAGGTTGAGGCCCATCCGTGGTTCGAATACAAGCTCTCAGTGCCAGGCTCCTAATCCCCAGCACATAAAGTCAATGCGTCATCTGTTGCAAGAAGGGAATATTTGGGCACATGCTGAAACACATGATTAATTAAGGTATTTGAAAGTGTTATGAAATTGGCGGATGCGTCGGTAACCTAGAAATACAGAAATGTGAAATACTGAATCCATACCACTGGGTCACGTCTTGTCATATGAACAAATATGATGCTACTTGCAAGTGCTGTCAGGTGTGTGATAAACTAAAAATACCTGTTTGGCCAAATTGGTGTTTAAGTACAATAGTTCTATGAATAATTTTGACAGTTATTTGGATTTAGTTTATGTGAATGTGTATATGTATGTTGTTGATCAAAACCTACATGAAATATTAGATATTTGACCAAAATGTCTCAAACACAACTCAAATGAATGATGTTATACATACATACAGACTAACATTTGTATAGCGCCGATATCCAGCTCAGCTGCTCAAAGGCGCTTTGTTTTTTCCTCGATCACTGGATGTCAATCTCAACGGCACGTGTATTATCAATCTAAACTCCCTGGGGACCATACAACTCTTGCAGCCACGAGGCGCACCAAGGTAGTGTGGTTTTCCCATCCTTACGAGGTACCCATTCACAGCTGGGTGGACTCGGACACATAGTCACAGTACTTTGTCCAAGTTTACGGCACGTTGCTGTACCCGCAACTAGGTGTTTGCAAGTATTCATGTGGCCACCATTTGGTCATATACCAACGGATTCGTGGGTTCTTTTAAGTGCACAGGGTTGTGTACTGTACACTAGGGGTTGTGACAACACTGAAAGAGTTGACTCCAAGGTTTTTATACCTGGTCACAGGTGGGCTCGATCCCGTCATCTCAAGCTCGCTGGATCACTAGTCTGGCGCTTTAGCTGGTTCACCCACCACGCCCCACGCCCATAGTAGCATAAAATACCAATCTTCATGATTAAATACCACTTCGTTAACAATAAATGATGATGGTTTAGCATATGATTAATATCCATAAGCTGGTATTCAGATACATATTTTTCGTTCATCGTCAACACTTGTGGTATAGGTTGAGGATTTCACGCCGTGTGTGAAGCACATTTAAGGGGGCTCTTCTTTGCTGGAATGGTTCTAAAAGCGGAATAAAACCATACTCACTCATGTCATGATGTACGTTCATGTCTCACGTTCAGCACATGGACAATGTGAACTAGATTTCAAGACAATACAGACTGATGTTTATTTTTTCAGTTCTTGCTACTTCGTTCGGTGTGTTTGGTGGGTTCGTCATCCTGCTGATACCAATATTTCTCTGTGTGAGATACAGGTATGCAGATATTTAGGTTATTGAAACTCAAAATTCATATCCTTCCTTTTAGTAAACAAGTTATACCGTTGTTTAAATCGTTTGCAGACAATACAGAAAGGCAAAATGGCGTTAATCAATTAAATCTTCATAACAGTAATTGTGATGGTCTGTTCTTTGCTAAACTGTTAAGAATGTGGGTCTGTCATTCCTCAGTGCCTGTCTTCAGATCAGAAACATGGTTAACGTATTTCGAACATTTTGCAGAGAAAGAAGGAGAGAGAAGCACAACGCAAAGAAGGCCAATGCAGAACAATCCGTACAAGCCGTGTGAGAAAATACAGACCCTGAGATGCTAAAATACTCATGGTTTAAAACTCTAACCGGGATAAAACGACTTTACTATGGAGAGCCAAGACGAGGAAGGTCGGAAACCGGAAGCATCAACCAACTGGCTCTCAGGCAGGAAGAAGGTTTCGAAAACTGTTTGCTAGTAGGAAGGGCTCTCCTAGTTCGACAAGCACAAACAGTTTAAGCGCGAGTCCAGGTCCAGACAACAATGGGCCTGAAGTTTTAAATGAAGAAGACAATGACGAAGTGTTTGATGTCGTGAGTCCCCGGCAAGGTGGTGGGATTTTCATGGACCAGCGCAGTTTCAATGAAGAGCTGATGAACGTTCCTGAAGAGGCATCCACATCTGTGGATGTCCATTGCGATTCTCTCGTGCCAAACAAACAAGCTGATGAAAATAATCAACTTGATGTGAGTGATGAAACAGTGGAAGGGGAGTTTGTTAATTCCTTGTTCTCTGGCGTTGGTGAGGGTACGGAATACCTTTCTGAAAATGAAAATCCGAAAGTGCAAGAAGAAGGTTCAACTGAAAACAATAACGGTCTCACTGAGACACAAAAGAAATATCTAGTTTCTGGCGAACAAGTAACCGTTGTTCCCGATTCTGAGGTCATTCGGGACAAAAAGACCCTGACAGGGATATTAGCCAATGGCTACCCTAGTGACCATGTAAGTGCAGATGATGCAGTGCCTATCAAGTCACCGAAAAAGGCAAATGGTACCGCAGTATTTAGAATGTAACGGATGGATTGTACCTTGGTTGGATTTTTATCTCATTAATGTGTATGTGTTGAATAGTTTGGGTGCAAACCAAACAACGCCAAAATTGACGACATTGATACCTGTGGATACCATGTTGTGCCTGCGTTGAGTTACTGGTATCAAACATTTTAATCAAGATGCATAATGCATTAAATACATCATCAGCTTCCGGTGATGACGCTTACTGTACATAATACTGGAGAATAGGATAGTAGTGAGCAGGAAATGGACAATAATACTATTATGTTTGTAGAAGCATCACAAAGTTACAATGCAATAGAGTCTGTGTCGGCATATAATCGAGACCTGTTAGTCTCTAGTTTTGTATTGATGAATATGAAACTACAAAGCAAGAGAATATATCCAGTCGCAACGCCAGAACAATTTCCAATGGATGTAAAAGGCAACATAGCAGAAAATTATATATGAATGTATCTCTCAAAATCAGTGATGACTGCAGGTGCCCTGAAGGTAGGCAAAGGTTGCATTCTGACTGTGTTCAATTCTAAATCAGTCCTATATCACTATAAACAAAAGTGTTGTGTTGTGATGTCGAGAGACAGCGTTTTCATCACATATTCATATGATAAGTAGAGTATGGTTTAATGTTGCCGTCTGTGTACACGTCCTCTCTTCACACGTGAAGCGTCAGCTGGGTGATACAGTACCTCTTGTTTCTTTGAATCACCTGTCTCTGGTTCATCCATGTACATTGTCTAACCTGATTCACCCCATTGGCAACACTGAAATTTCAAATATGTCTTGCGAATGTATTTTATGATGCGAAGCAACCCCAATAATTGTATCTCTCCGAGAGACAGGTGTGCTTCAGCGTTTATGGACCCAAGCCCCATTTCACAAAACTATATTAGCGCTACGACTGTCGTACCTCCTATGCTGTAGCTTTGTGAAACGGGGCCCTGAGGCTGAATGACTGTGTAGTTACCCGGTGTACTTGTATTGACCACTGTAAAACCTGACTGTGTCACGATCCTCGAGTGGATCTGGGCATGTTGTCTGTGTGCGTGGGCCCACTGTATTGAAATATTTTATCTGGTCTTTACATTTATTCAAACCCTCTATGAAAACACGGTTCTATTATTATCGGCACGCATATGTGTGTCCAATGTTTATGGACACAGGGTACGTAAACCAGTTAGACAGGTATGTTGTATGGCTGTGATTATGTTTGGAGTATAATTCATGCATGTATTTGGACCCTGCACTATGCTAACATTTCAATGCGACGGGAACGCTATGTCGTGGGAACAGCTCACTCGTGACATATCCCGAATTTAAGGAACACGCGTGGACGTTAGTATCCTCAAAAAGCAAACATTTTGTAGCTGTGTCACTGGCGAAGTGTGTATACCTCTCTCCTAAATCATAGTTTCCAGATATTAATGTGAAAAATTCTTTGACATGGAAAATGAATATTACCTTCAAAAATAATAATCGATCGTGAGATAGTTTAGTTTATATTCCGCCCGAAACGATCTTAACACCTACTCAGACTTTTTAGTATACGCGCTTTGGAAATTGGTTCAGTATTCATAATTTTCTTCAGGTTATATATAGTTTTTTATGACCAATAGCCTAAAGTTCACCATGATCAAAGTATAACAGGTTTTTTCAACAAAGCCTGCAGGTTGTAATGTGAACCAGGCTGGCATGGTGACGGTAAAATCAATGAGACAAACAATCAAGCTTACTCGTGCGTCTGGATCCGGTAGAAATGCCTGATAGGAATATAATTTGCCCGAACCGTCGTTGCATGATATTAAATATATATTTGTAATAGACTAATAGTGTAATATACCATGGGCTGCTTGCAGAGCATATTTTATGAATATTAAATATGATTCACGAAACTAGGGTAACACAATTAATGTGTACAGGTAATTTCCATTTATCTTCCAGAATTCAGAATTGATGTCTTGCATTATATTATACCATTGCCTTATACAATTACACCATCTGTTCTTCAATTACAGGACGCAACTGCAATGTAAATGCTTGTGAAAACAGATGTATTCATCTTCGGTTCAGATCAAAATGTCTCATGTGATACATAGCTCTTTGATATTTAGTACGATGTGATGCGGACTGTGTCTCTATCCCAGAGGGCTGTACATATGCGTATATCTCATACTGCTGTATATCCGTCTATTGCTGTGATTAGCCTCGTCAGAACGTACTCTGTAACTGCGGGTCAGTTGTTATTTGATTGTGATGGAGACATAGTTGTGATACAGTTCAGATATGATTTATATTACAACTACTTCTTTTTGTAAAGGTATAACAATTTCGCATGCAAGATTAAAAATGGGGTGCAAATTTAATTTACAACATTCCTATGTCAAATCAAAACATGGCCATACAATGTGAATATTGTCCGTTCTTTTGTGGTAACAGTGAACCACCATGATAGGGAATTTACATAATGACAAAATACATATGATTAATGATGACATATTGTTGGTGTAGGGAAGAGCACAAATGTTCTCATAACGAATCTGAATTACTATCCCCCAGGACATACGTTCACAATTGTGACTATGGTGAACTCTTTAACCTTTCAGCAGATAGTCCCTGGTTCGAATCCTATATTCGTTCCAACTGTGTTTTGTCAGTTTGCAAAACAAGATACCACAATTAATCAGTTTATGTACCATGCCTCGCTTTGGGTTGGTCTCTTTACAGTTGTTGACACAACCTGACCAAGGAAATATTTTCAAAGGATTTATATTCCATCCAATTCACAGAAGCTATCCTATGGAATGGAGCATGTTTGATCTCAACAGCGGCAACTGCAATTTTTGTGTACATTCCATAATTGTGTAATTATGTAAAATTGTGTTTATTAAAGGAAAATTGCTTGTACCTCGCATGATCTTGTATGCTAGTATATGTGTATGCATTGATGAAGAACTGGACTGACAGACTCGTATGCAATGTGCTGATGGTCTTGAATCATGGCATTTTTTATGTTAGAAGTTCTTGTAAATTTGTGCCTAGATTATAACCATTGTTTGATACATGTGTCATTCTATTTTTCTACAATATACAATGTTACATAGTATAGTTTGTTTTGTTGTGTTTACATGTAATCATTCGCAGGTGTCAACGTCGTATGCACATACAGGGACATGACGTAATGTCTTAAATGTCACAAGGTGCTTATGCGTGTAACTTCATGAAATGTGATTAAAGTTTTCAGATATAGAGGATATGCTCACAAGTTAGAGAACACCTGAAATTACCACTATTTGAAAGTGATTCACGACGCATTCTCATGATATAGTCGGAATTATAAAACGGATTCTCTTTTGAGCAGAAAGCTAGAATAATTACAGAAATTGTTTTCGTTCTTCTATTACACAAGACGGATTTACCTGATCTCATTTTGTCAATGTACTGAGAAAATGTGACATTGTGGATGTTATTAATACATGGGATGTTTCGGTACACGGTTAAATCGATGAAACCAAGGACTGACTGTATATAATCTTTATTTACTATAATCATTAATCATTCCAAAGAATGCATAGGTACTACGGTGATAAGGGCACAAACTAATCGACTTTCAATAACCGGAATCCTCTGGCGTCTTGGGAAAGGTTTCGTGTAAACAGTAATTCGATACAAACAGGGTCCTTGTGTCCGGGCAAAAATCGTGTAGTTAATGAGGTTAAACAGACCATTGATATTCTGGGGTTGGGGATATAATTCGTATCGATTTAAAAATGCGTGTAGTAGTTACCGAAAAGGTAACAATCGACCCGCTCGACAAATCAACGACCCGCTCCCGTCTTCCCACGTATGGAATATTCAATAGAGGATATCTGCCTGTTTGTCGCTTCATAAGTATCAAGGTAGGGTGCTTAGATTTTGTCACAACAGCAATTCAGCTAGCCTTGGAGCTATGTGCTGTATTGTACCCCGATCGTAACATATCCGCCAGTCACAGGACTGGTATTGTCCACATACCCATAGGTAAGGTAAAATATATGGCCTCCATTCTCTAGACGTTGTATATCGCTATTGTCGCTTCGGTCTATGGGGTATAATCGCGCAATGTGAAGTAACTGTTACATAAGACTGTTGAATGATGCACTCTTTTCCCTATGACATCAACTGATCTAATGCTATGGAGTGTCCCGAATGAGGACAATACTGTTCTTTATAGTGCTGATATTTCAATGTTATACTATGGGCGTATTGTATGAATAGAAATACACAGCATATCATCTGAAAGGAAACACACCTGCATTAGACTGAACACATGCCCAAGCAATGAATATTGATCATATATGCTGGCAGGGAGACTTTGCAATCTAACGACATTTAGGAATCCATGTTCACATGGGGGAGGAACCATTGAAGTGTTGGGGCGGGGGTAGCCTTGTGGGTAAAGTGTTCGGACGTTACACCGAAGACCAAGGTTCGATCTCCTTCATGGGTGCAGAATGTGAAGCCCGTTTCTGATGCCCCTTACCGTACTATTGCTGGGATATTGCTAAAGGCGGCGTAAAACATACTCGTGCAATTAAGTATGTTACTTTTTTCAGTGTCATTAATATTTTTTTGCAATAATGATTAAACGTTTGATTTGAAAATTAAAAACAGGACATTTTTAACTAAAGTATGGTAGGTTGTGTTACAGAAAAACGAATATAGAATGCTATCACTAGTGCATAACAAGTCTCGATCACACATGTTTCATTGGTCTTCACATGGTCAAACAGAAAGGAAAGTGATATAACGGACGAGGTCAGTAGAACACCACGTGTTGGTGAAAGTGTAACGTTTATGTACACATCATTACATACGCAGCTTGTTATCAGCTGCCATGGAAACACACATACGTCATTACATACGCAGCTTGTTATCAGCTGCCATGGAAACACACATACGTCCAAACATGTTGACACACACACACACACACACACACACGCACACACACACACACACACACACACATATAAGACACATACGCTAATGGAAAGGTGTACGAAAAGCTTAGTTTTTAGACAAACCGACGGTGAAATGCATATGCCATCATGAAATTTCCACATAAACAGTAGATTTAGCACGAGCAACAACATAATAAAATGGGCACAAAAGTGTTACGCGTTCGACTCCAGTCGGTAGACAAGTGAATCTATTTACAAAACATGGCATCGGCCAAACTATCAGTTTTAAAGCAGTGTTGCATGGCCGTGCAATATATTGTTGAACAATGTTTTACCTGTAATATATTGTTTCTGTAGACGTTTGTATAATATGAGATACTGGAGAAATTTGTAGAGGGTTTGACGATAGTTCGTCAGGAATGTTACAGGAAATCGTCTGAAACGGCATAGACTGATCAGAACGTGGGATATACTAGAAAGATATATATGTTATATTTTTAAGGTACGATCAAGCTCAGTTTCTGTGTAAAGATCGACTTTTAATACTAGATATCGAGACTAACCAAAGTTTGGAAGCTTGACCGCTGTTGCTGATTGTGATTATTGTAATTGATGACTATTGCTACTACCATATGCTATGCATATTTTGTACTACTACTCCATTGTGTACCGCCATTGGGATGGCATTGCAGCTATTTTCATTTGTAGATCTAGTTAATTGAATATAGATGTCATTGCTAACTGTATAACTATATTCGCCTTTATATGTTGGTTTCACACTTTTAAGTTTTGTTTTCTGGTTATGTGTTTAATTCAATTTATAATAATAATATTTGTTCCCTCTACAGCATGCTCAAAGCGCAAGACATAGAATTATACGAAAAAGACATTGAGAGGTAATGAAAGACTACAGATATATCGAACATTGTTCAATGGATTATTGTTTACACTCATGGGCTAATCTGAAGAAGTGAGTCTTTAGTAAGGATTTAAAAGTAGAAAGCTCTGTACAGTCAGGTAGATATTGAGGTAGTTGATTCCAGGTTGTAGAGGCTTCATACGAATAGGACCTTTCACCATATGTAGATGTCCTCACAGTGGGATAACGAGGAGACGTTTATCCTGTGAACAGAGAGAGCGAGTTGAGCGGTGCTGTGTGAGGGATTGGGCCAGATACGAAGGGGCAGATCCAGACAGCTGAAGGTGAGGCATAGAAGCTTGAATTGAATCCTGTATCGAATGGGCAGCCAGTGTAATGAATGAAGGAGTGGCAGAGCGTCATCAGATTTACGCGATTGGGTCACTACACGTACAGCAGCGTTCTGCATACGCTGTAGCTTCCTTATCTGTGTCTTAGTGGTACCAGCGAGAAGAGAGTTACAGTAGTCAATCCTGATCATAACTAGAGACAGGACAAGCGTGGTGGCAGATTCCGTGGTGAAATATGGTCGGATATGTCCAATAGTGCGCAGTTGAACAAAACAGCTCTGAACTAGATGGCAAACATGATCATCCAGAACACAATTGAGTCGATAATCACACCAAGGTCTTTGACCTTGTCAGCAGTTTGGATGTTTGTATTATCAAACTCGAAATCTGTAAGACCACACCGAGATCTCCTTTGCTGTGGCTCTAGGACAATGCATTCCGTCTTGTCACTATTCAGTTTTAGTTTGTTGTAATACACCCACGCCTTGATGTCCACGCCAACATGTGGAAATCTATATGAAACATAGAAACACAAATATGTTGTTGCATTTGTAGTACATGTAAATATACAAAATATGGACACGGGTGGTAGATAGTCCGTAGGGTGATACAAGACCTGAATTATATCTTTATATATTTATGTTCTTAGTTTTTCTTCAAATGCCATATCGTAGGTTATTTCAAAAGAATACAGATAGTGTATTTGTGTGAAGGTACAATGTCTATATACTACCTCGTTATCGGCAGCTGTGTTGACAGGAGGTCAGCTCACACCCAGGCTATACCGACTCATTCAGTTAGGTAGAATGAAATCTTGTGTCAGGTTCCTACCCATAAAGGACGTTTCTTAGCTAGAGGGGTGATAAATAGAAAGGGTGGGCGAGGATAGCATTTTAGTGGGTCGCATTACCTCGGAAAACGGTCAATGTGTATTGTAGGATGAAACACTGACACCCACCTCGGGAAATAGTTTGTTTTACCTAATCACATACCGTACTCTGCGAACAGACTTTGTTTTTTTTCAAAGACTAAACTTATCAGGGAATGTTGTGAATGATTTTATAAGAATGCTTCGTGAAGAACTGGTCTTCAGCAATCCAAGCTTGTCGTGAGAGGCAACAAAAAGGTCCGAAATCGCCTAACATCGGCCGCTGAATGATTCAGACGACCTATCAGACCCGTGTTGTTATCCCCGGAGCACAAGGTAGCACGACTAGCTTGGTGTCAAAGTCGACGTAACTGGAATTTGACGTCACGGGAAAGGTCCCATGGTCGGTCGATTTCTTTTGTTCATGCTTGTAGTCGAGCTCTTGTGTGGCGCCCCAGGAACACTGCATGTACCGTTTAGTAGGGGTTCATTAATGGTGTGAAGTGCCTCCCACATGACTGTAAACTTTACCTTCTACCGATCAGACAAAATCTGAATGGGCAACAGCACATCACTGACATCCTACACAGGGTTGTGATTGCCGTTGGTGATTTGTTAGGTCAGTCCAGATTACAACACAATGGAGCATGTTTGCGTAATGGTAACATACTGATACTGTTAAAGGCATAGGGCGTTGCTATACCTTTTCCCAAGTGTATAATATTTCTTTCTAAACTTAAGCTGTCTTGAATTGGTGGGAATTGAATATAAGATGAGGTACATTGAACAACATGTAAAAGTGAGATATAGTACTTGTGCTATACTTGTTAACAATGCTACCTTCTTACTTCAAATTAGTACTGAAAAGGTAACTGTTTGAAAAACAGTTATCCGAACTATTGTTTTCAAAAATATGTTTTCAGTACAGGTCCTCCACAATATTTGTATTCATTCACAAAGACAGCTATGTACTGTTATAGCCGAACTAGTATGCGCCTTTTAGAGACTCTCAGACACCGATAAAGTGGTGTATGGGAAAGTAAAGGGGTATCATCCCCTGTGTTTGCTTAACGAACCAACTTCGCTCCG